CACATCAGCATAAACAGAGACTCGCGGTTGCATCATTTGTTTGTTTTGTCGTGTTTTATCAGTGTTTGTTTGTCTTCCTCTGTAACATCCCAAAATTCTAAATTTTGGATTGTTATAATAAATAGATAGATTTGATTGATTGTTTGATTGATTGTGTGAAATTGAGTGAAATTCAAAACTTTTTTGAAAGTTAAATGAGAGGGAATAAAAGGACTTTCCCAAACATTCATTTTGCATTTATGATCTTCGTGAATTCAAATTCTTTTCAAATACAAAACCCTAGAGAGAAGATGACATGACTTCTTCCATTTATTTAAATGACAAGGGGTGTTGAAAATATTTGAATTTCATTTGGAAAATATTTCCAATTCTGAAACTTTATGCAACTCAATGATTTTCACGAGAGGAGATAAAATGACTTCTTCAAATTATATGAAATATGAGTTGGGAGTTTCAAAGGATCAAATTCAAAGTCTTTTTGAATTTATTCTCAATTTGGAGTTATTTAAGTTTTATTCAAATTATTTTTCTCCGAAAATAAAATATATGGAAAATAGGATAACATGATTCCCTACATCAGAAAATTGGAGATAAATAAATTTGAATTCATTCTGGTATTTCTAAAATGATTTTATTGGATTTTATTAGACCAGTAGCACTCTTTGAATTATCTGAATTTGGGTGGGTTTTATTTAATTCTAGGAAAATGTTCATCTGGTAGAAAATCTTTTTCCAAAAATTCTGATATATAATATGCCTATATAAAGTTTTATTTTTATTTTTGTTTTTTAGTTTAGCGCATTCTGTTTAAAAAAATAATAAAAACTGCGCGGGCACCTGAAACTAACTGTCGCCCACGTGCGCATCATAGTACCAACGGGCGCTCTATCTTTTCTTTTTCTTTATCCTTTATGTGCCAGGCCCAGCCAGCCTTTTTTTTCTTCTTAGGCCCATCCGTCTCTTTTCTTTTCTGTTTCGTATATTTCCGTCTATGTTTAGTCCCACATATTTCCGTCTATGTTTAGTCCCACATTGTCTAGTCTTTAACCTTTAAGTCTCTTTTCCACCAATAAATATAGACCCATAAAGCCTCCAAAAAATCATCAGATTCGGATTAAATTAATATTTTGGTTTGACTAGATTCATTTAAGAAAAATATATTTCTCCTTTCCGGCGCGACTTGTGGAAATTGTCTCTTCTCTCCAAAGTCATCTTTTCTCTGCCTTATAAAGATATCTTTCTTTGTTTTCTTCTTCTTCTTATACTTCCGTAGTTTATTATTTTTAGACTAATACGATAGAATAATTAGATCACTAATTAGTCTACGTATTTAAATGTTAGACCTTAACCGTAGCTATTTTTCTTTCGTAAAACAGCTTGGCCCTAATTTTTTAAATAGCCATAACTTTTCACTCGTTTATCCAAATTAGATGAAACCAGTGCCTATAGCTTCGTCTTGTTTTCACCTATCCAGTGAACCTGTCACATCAACTTTTCAAAATTTTCAAATTTCGAATTTTGTTCAGATTCATATTCAAACTTCATTTGATTATAACTTGAGTTTTGTAGCTTCGTTTGAGTTGATTCTTTTTGCAAATCGAAGCTTTTGACCTAAACTTTCTGATAAGGCCAAATTCATATAATTTTGGTACTGTTAGAAATTGTTTTATGTTGCAAGAGTTATTTGCTTGGTTTTGATGTTTTCCGAATTGTCTTCTTCGATCTTTCTGATCTTTTGAGTGATTGCTTATGTGTGATTACTATTGCTTGCTTACGATGGATTGACCGGAGTGTGACGAGTAGAACTATCAAGAGTTTTGAGTGCGAATCATCTTCATCAACATTGCAGGCAAGTTCACACTTTGATCATATCCCTTTCATACCCAGTTTTTATGCATTAGTTTCAGCCTCACACATTGCATGAGTAGGATTGATAACATGTGGGTATTGGGAAGTAGTTGATGAGGTAGGAACCTATTGCCTTGCATTCAAACCTTGGGAGTTACTATTACGTTATGCTTATATTGCCATGCTATACTCATAGACGTGGTTTGGGTTTGAGAGTATTCATGACAGATGTGAGATTGTTAATTAATGGTTTACTTAAGGTGGCAACTTAAACACACATCTGGGTGGATTGAGGCACCTGGGTATTCCAGGATTGCCTGTCTAGGCACCTGGATAGACCAGGATTGCCTTTTTTTTATGGACCGCCACCCAGGCTCAAAGGGATCATGAGATTTTTCATACTAGAAACTTCCGTGTGCAGCCACAAGCTATTATGGGCTCTAGCATAGTTGATTAAGTCGTGCGAACTCTTACAGGATAGACTAGCAGATGTAGGGGAAAGTAGGTGTAACGGTCTATCCATCGCAAGGTGCTAGCGCTTCTGAAAGACTATGTCTCGGTCATCCGTTTCTCAAACACCATGTAGTGCGAGAAATCCAACGGAGGCGATCGAGTCTTGTAGGGAAAAGTGTGCAAACCTCTGCAGAGTGTATAAACTAATCATGGTTAGCCATGTCCCCGGTTATGGACGTCTTGAGTATCTAGTACCTGGATTATCATGTGAATCTCATCATGTTACTTTAAATTAAGTTTGTTGGGTTTCATGATGTTACTTAATTAGGATTGAGAATGCTATCAACCATTCTCAATGTTCAACAACCACCATGATAGTTAAATAAAATTTATTCCTTTGTAGTAGGGAAAAATTGGCTTTTCGCAAAAATCTTATAACCATAGAGCTTTTCCACCAGCCAAATATGCATGTAGTGATAGCCTTTATTCATCATTCTCTATGGTGTAAATTTGCCAGTACATTTAATGTACTGACCCTTTGTGGCTGCAACGTCTCATGTTGCAGGATTATCTTACAATGAGTAAGTGATACGTTAGGGTTACGATTTCTACACTCAACTTTGCCGTTGGTGTTGATGGGAATCCACAATCTTGTTACTTTCGCTATTTGGATTGAAGTAATAGTATTTACATTATTTTATACATGTAATTTACCTCTGTTATAAATCATCGAGTACTGTGTGTGTCAGCATACCGATTCAGGGATGACACTTAAGCACAGAGACTTGACCCATTCAGGTCGGGTCGCTACATCCACGACACCAGCCCAGAACGACAGGAGCTTCTTCGATTGCTCTAACTGACAGCGAGCAGTCGCGCGCAAAAAAGGAATGTGTCACGGGTACTATGATTCAAACTACATACCTCCTGCTGGAGTACACATCTTACTAGCCACTGCAATCGATGAGTTGTCATGACAAATGAGATGCGTGAGGTCTAAAGAACTAATGGCCGCGGCGTAACTAAACATTGAATGAAAAACTGTGAACAAGTTTTGAACACTTTTTTAAAATTATGAACATTTTTTGTCAAACACGAGTAACTTATAATTTTTTTGAACATTTTTAAAAATATTGAGAAATTTTTAAATTCCCAAACATTTTTTGAATTTGTAAACAAACTGGATAACATATTTTAAATTCTGATTTTTTTAAAACACAAATACTTTTTTGTATTTTTTAACATAATTTTTTAAAGCGAACATTTTTTGAAAACACAAACATTTTTTGAACTGGTGAATAAACTAGCCTTATACACAAAATGATATGACTCGAAAGGGTGTGTCTCATTTTTATACAAACTCGGGCCACAAAAAACGCACAACGGAAACGAACAAAAGGCAACGTTCGCAAACGACGACATATATGGGCCCATGTGAAAAAAAAGGACAAGAACAGACCAACACAAAACAAAATGGAACAGTAGGACGTGGGAGAAAAAATAACAAGCTCACATGGGTGGGGATGATCGGGTTTGTGCGAAGATTAAAACAAACAAACCGGGTGGTTACAAACTTAGATGAGACATCACTGCATCTCATCTGGATGAGATTTAGCAAATCCGAAAGAAAAAAAAAACTAGTTACGTTATCCTCTCGCTACATAGTCGAATCAAAATAAACAAAACAAGAAATGAAAAGACATGTGTCCCTCCAAAAAATGTTACAGCCCACAAAATGAACCCAACACAATGCATAAAAATGGCCCACTAAAAAAACCATATCAAGCATCACTGTTTCATGAGGGATGAACAAATAACAGGACACGATAACAACGAGCACGACCTAGAAACACGCACATCTAATGCCATGTGAGTTAGATGAGACATTGTTAACTCACCCTAGACGAGAATTAGCAAAACCAATCCAAAACATTCAAATCGCGCTGCGAAAACGGCCCAACAAAAGATGCACGCATGAGCAGGTTGACAAGTAGATACCAGACATACAGCGCGACACGAGACTCGTGCGACAAAACAATCCATGATCGTAATTTACACGACAATTAAAGCAAATAGATGACGAAGTGAAAAAAGTTCAATAATTTAAAACAACGAAATAAAGAAGAAAATAATAGAAAAGAAAAAATAAAAAGAAATGGAAAAGGAGAAAATAATAAATAAATAAAATACCAAAAAATCACGAATTTAAAACGGTACTAGTTCATAATCGAAAACAAATTATGAAACGGAAAAAGAAAAGGAAAAATAACAAAAAAAAGTAACACAGCAGCCCATATAAAAACAGGAAAAGACAACAGCCCATGAGAAGACATGAAAAAAAAAACACAGCCCATACGAGCCGAGGGCAGCTGACTAGTGTAGCTTTTTTTTTCGTTGTGTTTTCGGTGGCCATGGCAATGATACCTACAACCAAAGATGAATTTGATCGCCACTTCATTTGTAGTGTGACCTTGCCCTGATCGTCTATAATTGAACGTGACGATATCATCATGAGCGTATTCACACTTCTGTTTTATTCATATAATAATGTAGGTGTAGGCATATTCAGAAATTGCTAATGGAGCTCGAGCTCCATGTAGCCTGGATTTTGAAAAATTCAAGAAACAACTTCATAAGTTTTAAAATTTTCTGAAAGAAACTACACACGTATTCTTTTTTTTTGCGGGTGAAATAATGTATTACTCAATCACAAGGTCCATACATTCAATCACTGCAAACTCCAATGCTTCTGAAGGCCCTGAATCTATCCAAGTCATGGTCCTGCCTTCTAGACGAGCAAACTTAGCTAGACTATCACTAACCTTATTTTGACTACGATTGATATGAGTAATACAAGAATTACGAAGAGACATAAGGTAACGGATCTCCTTAATGAGCGACGTGTAAATAGATCCGTCCACCTCCTTAGCCTGTATCAGCTTCATTGCAACAATGGAATCCATCTCGATCATGATAGGTAGGACACTCCTCTGGATAGCAAATGACAAACCCTCCATGCAAGCACACAATTCAGCTTTTAGGACTTCGCGACATGAGAAAAGCTACCTACACGAAGAAAAAAATATAGAACCCTTGTCATCTCTCAGCACCATGCCAGCGCCTGCCGATCCATCATCTGCATACGAGCCATCAGTGCACAACTGCACCCAGCCGGCCTTGGGCGCAATCCACTTGGGATGAGCAACATTTGTTATCACATGTGACCACCGGGGATGAATATCATATGTGATAAAATGCATTCTAAACATAGCACACATCAAAACGTAAAACTCATGATTTTTTTACATACCTCACATCAAAACGTATTTCGCCATAAAATATCACATAAACATAGCACACATCCCTATATGTGCACTTTTTTCAGAATTATTTGAAACTAAAACAGTTAGTTTAAATTTTTTGCAACATTTTGGGTTGAAGTCTCAAAAAACGTCTTTATTATGGGACGGAGGGAGTAAAAAATAGAATACACTCACCACCACATCGCCGCCGCCGCGCCTCAGCCTGATCTACGCCGCCTCCGTCTGCGGCCCCTCCTCCGCCATGGATCCCGCTACTGGCTAGCCACTCTCCTCTCGCCGCTCGTCCTGCGCCGCCCCGCGTCTCCCCTGATTGTTCAGCCACCTGACGCCGACGCGCCACTCCGGCAGCTGGCCCTCTACTCCTCCCCCAGCCGCCGCCGCCGCCGCCCGGCCACCCAACGCCGACGCCCCACGCCAGCAGCTTCCCGACCAGCTCCGCGAGGTAAGCCACCTGCTACTCTCTGTTAATTTTTCGCATTTTCTGATGGGTGCACTAATAACATTACCACCTGCTACACCTGATGCGTGCACTGATGCTATGATGTGTGTGATGCATGAGTATGTGATGTATCTGAACAAAAAATCTGGACAGTGAGCTCTTTATTTCATTGTGTATTGGACAACAAATTTGTTTTGATGAATATGATCTTGAAAGTGAGCTCGTCTTGATGTATATGAGCCTGAAAATGAGCATGTTTTGATGTATACGGTCTTGAAAGCGAGCTTATTTTGATGAACATGAACAAAAATTATAGACCAGAGCTCTTTATTTCATTGTGCATTGGACAGTAGGCTCTTTATTTAGTTGTGTATTCTCTTTTGCTTCGTATCCTTGTGCTAGACAGTGAGCCACTTTTGCACAAGCCGCAGCTCAGAAGAACTGGCCCTAACCAATCCCCCCTCTCTTCTTCCTCAGTGGCCCTGTCTCTAAAATCGCCACCAAACTCCCCACAGATGGGCTGGTGCTCCCCGTCCACACCCCGGCAGCTGCTATCCACCGTCGCACTCTTCGCCTTCGGCGCAGGGCTCCTCACCTACGGCGCACACCTCTCCTACGTCCACATCGAGCCCCAGCGCGAGCGCACGCTCGCCCGCGATCAGTTTGTCCGCGACTACCTACGCAGGAAGCACGACAAGTAGCCCGCATCCTCACGGCATCCCCTCCTATTCCGTTCCACTGCTTGGCAACGATGCCTTTGCCCCCCATGAGCTCCGGCGTTGGGCCAGTGATAGCGGAGGTGGAGATGAACGCCGGCGCCGACCAGGATGCCACTACCGTGTGGGCCACTGTTGTGCAGGCCTGCAGCATGTTCTATGACACGCCTGCAACGTTCGGTATGTCCTCTGACTTTGGTTTCGCTGTCGTTTCCTATCGTTGCTCGTATGGTGTTCGGTCATTTGTCTTGCTAGTGTGTGGATCGGGTGCTGAGCGCTAGGTGCTTGCTTGATTGCTTGATTGCTTGTCTCACTAGCACGGACTTGCTCTTTTGTAATCTATCAGACTGATGCCTTGAAATAGCAAGAATGGTGTGCCAATCAAACTTGAGCTATATTGTTCTCCTTCATTGACTATGGTTTCATATGTACAAAGAGTTGTGCTTTTTCGATGTCAATGGACTAGGTCGAAAAGGAATTGACAGTTTTCTTGAATTGTAGTTGGTGTAATTGTCTTAGTGGCAAGCTCTATAGACAAAATTTTCTTGCTTGGAAAATGAGGTGTTTGCTGTATGACACAAGCACATTAGGCAGAAAATTGCAGTTATGTTACTTAGGTGGCACACAATTCCCCTTGCTGATGGGAGACTGCTGATCTGTATAAACTTTCCATTTTGGATATCAAGGGAGCAGATGTTAATGTCACATTTGATCTTACATCTTCTCTCCCTGTTTTCTATGATATCTCCTGTTAAGCATGAGCTATTGGTCATTAAGAATGATTTAACTGCAATAAATGGTGTTCCACAAAATGTAAGATAAAGAAATATTACACGAAAAGAGCTCAAGGATTTGAAACGGAAAATGCAAGTTGGTAATGTATCTTGTATGCATGTAATTCGTTTACAAATTATGAACATGAATCCTTGCAGGATTGGAGAATATTTTGTTGCTGCTAATTCGTAACTGCATTGTTTGACAGACAAAGCAGAAAAATTGACAGCCGAGACAGCTGGATATGGTTCACAGTTGGTTCTTTTCCCAGAAGTCTTTGTCGGTGGCTACCCTCATGGGTCTGCCTTTGGACTAACTGTTGGCAGTCGATCTGCAAAGGGAAAAGAAGACTTTTGGAAGTACCATACAGCTGCCATAGATGTGCCTGGTATGCCAAGATTTTGTCAATATATTCACTGTACATTGTTTTTCATGATAATTATCATGCTTCATCTTTTTGCTTGATACTTATAATTTTTAGTGTGCATTGTGCTCTGGAGAAATAGAAATACACCCAGAACTGAACTTCTTTTTATTCCGTTTTTGAACTATAGTTTCAGTCCATCTGTTAGCAACAAATTTCAAAGCACACCATTATTTGTTTGTGTTACAGTTACATTGGCAATATATTAGAATGTTTAGTGCTAGAAAGGAAGTATAAAGCACAAAATAATGTAAGAAAAGCAATCGTAATTGACAGCTGTTATGTTATTGAACTGAAGGTGTATAGAAAAGCAATCAAGCAAAACCTCAAACAAGCTGATAAATTACTGAACTAAAGTGTATGATATTTGATTTCTGTTCCTGTGTTTTCCTGCATTTCAAGAAGTACAGCTCCATAATTGACAAAACCTTTGCAGCTTTGACCTTGTTACCTGTATTTGTTAAATTTATTTGTTATTCTTCTAGTTCATGGTGCAATTCATTATCAATGTACATTGGATTTTATACTCCAAATCATCACAACAGAGCATAGTAGTGAAAAGAGTAACATGAGCACGCAACTCTTGTTAATACAGCTGATAAAAATGAATAAATCAACAGAGCGCACCGCCGTTCGTCCTGGAGGGAGTTCCATCATCTCGCCATCTATGGCAGTGTTGGCAGGCCCCAACTATGAGGGCGAGGCCCTTCTCACAGCTGACCAGGGTAAGAAACTGATGACTGGCTTCCAGTCTATGCTAAATGCGTATTGTTTTGGGTACTTGTAGGCAGCACAACAGTGTACTGATTTATTTATACGTGTTCGGTAATCGCAGCTGTCACCAATATAAATCTGTATTGTGACTGAAACATCACAAGCACATAATTCTTAATAGAAACTTTGTGATATGTTTGCAGACATTGGTGAAATTGTTCGGGCGAAGTTTGATTTCGACGCTGTGGGAAACTACAAACGGGCTGAGGTGCCGAGCTTGAGCGTGAATACCGACGCTGTGGGACACTGCAAACGGGCTTAGGTGCCGAGCTTGAGCGTCAATACTGATCTGAGACACCTGTGTCTTCCACTCTACCGACGGATAAGATCTGAGGTGCAAGAGTGCCAATGTTTTGAGGACCTGATTGATGACCAGCAATGTTTCCGTAGCTGTCAGCAATAGTTGTGCCTTTGTTTTTCTTGTAAGGGCATCTACAGACATACTACATACATCTACCCCAATGACTTGTAGTATATTTGATTTTGAAAACCATTCTGGGGTAGAAATAATGTGTTTTTCTTATTTGAATTTGTATAAGATCTTTGGACCGTCGATTCGTAATCAGAGTGGGCTAATAGTATTCTACTAACAACCTTGGCTGGCGCAAAGAGTAGAATGCAGGAGTACATATCAGTGAGGAAAACCAGCTTGGTGCAGAGCCACAAACATTGAAGGGGATTCTCATTTCTCTTCATCTAGTTTAAGTTGCCTTTGGAACATTTATGATCAGGAAAACCGCGCCTTGCGCTACAATCCAGCTCAAGAGAGGATAGCCATCAGGTCAGATACCCTCAGCACAATGTAGTTTGTACCATCAGCACCCTTGAACTCAGCGCCAGCATACTTGGAGTACAGAACGGAATTGCCTGTGGATACCGGCAACGGGATCCTCTTGCCTTCCTCGTCCAGATAGCCCGGGCCGACAGCGACCACCTGTCTCCGACAAATGAACATGGCATTAGCTCAAAAGCAAGATTGATTCGAACTAGATAGATGCCAAGGTAGTTGCAACATGACCCGTACAGCTCAGAAACATAGGCACCATAGACATCAAAACTGTCCAACAGAACTAGTAAATGACTAACCGTTCCAACAGATGGCTTCTCCTGGACACTGTTAGTCAGCAGCAGGCCCCCAGCAGTTTTATCTTCAGCTACAGCTACCTGTTATACAGGACGAAAAGCATGAAATGGTTATTATAACAAGATTCGACGGTAAGTAACCTAAGACAGAAACAGACACAAAACTGACACCAGCGCACAGTCCAAGACATATATGTTGATGTAACCAGATGCACACAATAAATGTATGTGAAAACATCTACCTTGATAAGAACACGGTCGCTAAGAGGCTTCATGTCTTTCACATCCTCTGTCTCCAGAATACCTATGATATCGTCCTCTTTTAGGATCAGATGGTTGGAATCATTCAACTCCACCTCCATTCCAGCATACTTCGAATATACAACCTGAGCCCCAACCTACATAACAGATGATACATGTTACACCTGCCTTTACTCACCAACCACTGGTATAAACCTGTTGTATTGACAACTAAAGGCAGAAGAGATGTAGTAACAAAGCAGATACAAAACTGGCATAACATGCGTAAAATTCTAGAATGTAAAAAGCTAAGGCAAGCTTCATCATATTAGCATTTTAGCATGCTTTTGACTGGATTTGTTATAACTAAAGTCCTACTCATAATATTGTAGCACACTGACATATTGAAAACTAATTATCACGGCAAAACATATACAAGGACCAAACCAGATACAACAAAACTGGCACAACATGCGTAATATCCCAAAATCCAAACAGGTAACGCAAGCGCGTTGCAAGCTTCATCATATCAGCATTTTAGCATGCTGTTGACTGGATTTGTTATAACCAAAATTCTACTCACAAGACTAACAAACTGATTGCACAAGCCATACCTTAATGCCGACTTCTACTTTGCTATCCCCAATGGTTCTTCCCTCTCCAACAGAAACCACCTCACCACTCTGAGGTTTAGACTGAGCAGTTGAAGGAAGCAGAATCCCACCGGTCGTCTTCTGCTCGGCAGTCTTGGTCTTCAGAAGCACTCTGTCAGCCAAGGGCTTGACCGTCGTGTACTGCAGCAGAGTAACAGGGGATAGTTTCAGACCCGGAAGCATACTCGCCGCATGATAATTAGAGCTAGAGGCTCGACTAAAACGCTAGGCGCAAGCCACAAAAGAAACATAACTGCTTTCTGGGCTCCTTTTCGATATATTGATGCTGGGAGCATTCAACCTCCTAGTTCATTTGATGACACAACTGGTTGCTCAAAACAGCTCTCCGGTCGGTTAATTCAACCAAAACTGACGTCGAGAAACCTCATAGTCCATTTCATGAAACATTTAATTGATCATAAGCAGCTCTGTCTGACCATTAATTAATCCAGTAGAATCCCAAATTTCGTCAACACTATGCAGCAAGCTTAGAGAGATACCCAGTTGACACACCACGGCAGAGACATTTAAATTTCCTAACCAATATACCTAAACTCTACAGAAAAACAAGGTGCACTGCATCTAACTCGTATCGCATCGCATCCCAAACCACAAATAAACGCATTCCGGCAATCTCATTATTCAGTTAGCCCCCTCTTCTACAGTCCCACCTTATCAATTGCGAGTATACACATGTAACAGGGCGCAAGAGAACCACCATCACCACTCGCGAAAAACAAGCAGCGAAACCATGCCGCATTGCACGGGGGAGCACGCACCTTGGGGGCGACGACGGTGGCGGCCCTGGCGACGAGCCCGCGGAGCGCCCCCCGCCGGGCCGCCGGCGCGGCGACGCGCCGAGGCTCGACGGCGGCCGCCCCCTTCCCGGCGAACCCCGCCGCGCCGACGGCCGCGGCACCGCAGAGCTGCACCGACGCCATTGCCCGAGGACTTCGCTCGTAATCCGAGGATAAACCCTAGCCTAGCCTAGCCTAGAAGGAAGATGAGCAGAGCAGCGGAGAAGCAAATGGGAGAGGGCAGCGCTTTATCCATCCATCCGGTCCCCGAAAAAAACCCGTGCTTCTTCTCATGGGCCGCGAGCGCATCTTTGGGCCCGATGCGTCAAGATTACGTGGGCTAAAATGGGCTTGGAGGTCCAGGTCGTCAACTCAGCCCGTGGTGACTTGGATGTCAAACGGGCCTGGCCGCGTCTTCCTCCTCGGCTCCGATACCCATTCCCGAGCGGCGGAAAAAGAAAAACAGAGCGGCGGCGATCGCCAACGCCGACCGAGGGAGGGAAGCCATGGGCGCCGCCGTGGCGGGGTGGACGGTGGCGGCGGTGCTGCTGCAGGTCGCGGGCCTCTCCCTCTTCCTCTACGGCTTCTTCCCCGTCAAGCCCACGCTCCCGGGCTTCAGGTCCGCGCCTCCGCCTCTGCTCAGCCCCGCTTTTCTCTTGAGCCGGCAGGCGGTGTTCGTTTGCTCCGACTGACCCGTGTCTGGTGTGTGGTTTGTCACCCTGCAGTGGCGCGGAGAGCTACCGGGCGCCGTCGTGCGGCCCCGTCGTCGGCGGGGAGGGGCCGGCGCTTCCTCCGGATCAGCTCAGATCGCTCTACAGGGTACGGCACTGCTTCCGTTTCGATTGCTCGCCCTGCAGTTTAGTAGATCCGCGTAGTACTGTTTCAGTCCAGTGGCGGAGCTTGCACCGACAACAAGGAGGGGCCAGCATCAGAAGATGCACAGAATTAGTAATTTATGATGATTTTCTTCAGCTCTAATCACTTAGATACTCTAAATATCAGTACTGTGGGGCGGGGTGTGTGTGGGAGAGGGGGGCGTTGGCCCCCCTTGGCCCCAATGAAGCTTTGCTAATGCTCTGATGTTTGTCAAGGTGTCATGTCCCAACCTATGATTGGATTGACAACACAACGGCACGCACGAAGTACAATAGAAATTGGGGTTGGGTAATACAAGATCAGAGTTTAAGACAGGATCAGCAAAGTATTTTGGCGCGGAACGAGATGAAGTGGAGGAAGGAGGAGGCTGCTGCCTAATTCATTTTCTGGTCCATGCCCTTCCATCTGCTCCTGCCTACTGTAGGATGATTGTCTTCAATCACTTCAATACTCTAAATATCACTGCTGGTTTTACACAGTTGTACGAATGTAGGGAGGGGATGACCTACCTTGGCCCCAATGATGCTTTGCCGCTAGTTGCAGAATGTTCTTATGTCTGTCCGTCAAATCCTAAATTACTGCTGTTTTGCGTTATAGAATGTTATGGTGAGCCAAAGATTTTAAAGTAGCGCAAATATTTTCAAGGTTGCCAGATTTTATGCTGATACAGAACTTCATATATACTCAAATTTAGTACAAGTTATTATGCATTTTATACTGACGAGCTTTCCTAGAGCTTCTTATGTACTCGGTTTAAGTTATGCATTTACGGTTTTTAATGCTTGCGATTTTGTGTATGGTTCATTCCAGGAACTTTCGGAGGTCCCCCATGTGTATGATCGCTTGGTATTGATGGTATGCCCTCAATTTATATGCCTATTACTGGCAGCATAATCCAATACATTTGTATGGATATTTATCTTACCTTTTAATGTTTGGCCTTTTGAGTCTATGAATGTCAATTTAGGTGATAGATGGGCTACCTGCTGAATTTGTACTGGGGAGAGGTGGAAAACCTCCAGCCAAAGAAATGATGGAGTCAATGCCATACACACAGTCTCTGTTAGCTGGTTGCAGAGCAGTGGGTTATCATGCAAAGGCTGCACCTCCAACCGTTACAATGCCCCGGCTAAAAGTATGACTTATTTTACATAGGGATATTTATTCGTACAAATGCCAAATGTTGAGCAATCTTTAGCGTATATTTTTTTCAGGCAATGGTGTCAGGGGCAATTGGAGGTTTTCTAGATGTAGCACTTAACTTCAATACTCAAGCTTTCTTGGATGACAATCTTCTTGGTTAGAACCTCTTGCTACCTTTTCTCCCTATTTCTCTGTCTTGCTAGCCCAACTTTGTATGCCAAATTAGCAATAAGGAATTGCTTATAAGTGCACTTTTATATTTATCACAGATCAGCTTCATACGATTGGTTATAAGTTAGTGATGTTGGGAGATGAAACATGGATCAAATTGTTCCCAACACTGTTCTACAGACAAGATGGAGTGAGCAGTTTTTATGTAAGTCCTGTCTCATGCTTCACATGCTTTTCTTGCAACGATATTTGATGATAATTGATTATTGGAGGACAACATCATAAACCTTAAACGCTGATAGGTTTGGTTTCTATCGTCTGAAGCACCGATTTAACAATTACTTTACAACAAATAATCAATTCATCCCTGTGTTTTTTTTCAGAACAAAAAAATATATATACTGAAGTCACTAACTGATAAACCAAATTTCGACATTTGAAATTTTAGGTGCTTGGCATCTCCTTGCCATCTGTCGGGCTACTTTTCTCTGCTGAACATATGACACTCTTTAAGGAGTGTATCCACTACTTTCCCTTTGCGTACAGATATTCGGATATTAGGCACTTGATCATTTGATTTGCTGCTTAATTTGTGCTAATAACAGTGATTTCTTTGTTCTCTACAGCCTGGTCAATTATTAGTTGAACTTACTTTAATGATTTGTAACTATATTGCAGGTTAAAGATACGGTTGAGGTTGATTTCAATGTTTCTCGCCATCTGGAATCTGAACTTGCTGCAAAAGACTGGGATGCACTGGTGCAGTTTTACTTTTTAGTGATGCTTCTGTGCATGTTCGCTTGTTTTATCATTTGTGACAGATAATGCTATCTCATTCTCTGGATTCCAACCTTGTAGTCCAAGTGTCCAGCTAATGTTTGTTATGGTCGATGTCTAACTTTCTTTACTTGCATTAGCTTTTTTGGTTGTTTGATAAAGTTAACTACAATCTTTTAGGCTGATACTGAGAAATTCCTTTATTTGACATTTTCAGATTCTTCACTATTTAGGTTTAGATCATGTTGGCCATATAGGCGGCCGCCAGAGGTATATTCCATATCAGTTTCATGTATTTTTGTTTGATCAATGTGTAGTTTGAATTCAAGTTTGAAATGACAGCAATTTGATGACCCCAAAGCTGAAGGAGATGGATGATGTTATTAGAAGGATCCATGCTGCATTTAAGAGCAGTCAGGATAGTTCACACAGAACACTTTTGGTATCTGATCCTTTCATTTCTACAAAATACAAATCTGCTTTTCTAGTAGCATAGATTTAATGTTGCGTAGAAGTTTACTCCAACATCTGCAGTAGATTGCTTCGAGAATCCATTAGTAATACTGATTACTCAGATGTGTGTCTAAGAAATTCTGCTTTCTGATGCCTTCCTCACTTATGATATTTATGATTTCTATGGGTGCAGGGGTTGCAACTCAATTTTGCATCTTGCATCCAAATCTTCCAAGTTGCATTAAAAATGCTTGGACGTACAATATTTTCCCATTACTTTAAGTTCAGTAGTGTGTACACTTCGCTGGAGAACTGAATATTTGATAATTAAACATAAATAGAACTGTTGGTAAGGATCTATAGGGTCTATGTACAACCAAAAATTAGTGGGTGTGAAAACAAGACGATCCACCAAAAAACATGAATTGCCAAGCTACCACATCTGAAAAGATAAAGGTTCTACACTATTTCTCATAAGGATTTTTGCTCTGCCCCTACATTTCAGGTTGTGGTCAGTGATCATGGAATGACTGAAGTTGGTAATCATGGAGGATCTTCTTATGAAGAAACTGACTCCCTTGCCCTTTTTATAGGACACAGTGTTGAGAGCTCATATTGTTCACCTTATGAACAGAAAGAAGCACTTCAAGTATGATATATACTTCTCTCAGCCTTGTCCCTTCGAAGCTCTAGTTCAGTTTGTAGTATACTTGTGAGTTTTGATAGGAATTTTGGCAGTCTGTGATTATTTTCTTAGAAAACTTTCTTTGGCAATCAAGCTGAAGAAAGCAGTAATATCTGTTAGATAGTGTTTCAAGATACCATCACGCAACTCTGACCAGTCACCTTTTTTTGCCAGGTTGACCTTGCCCCAACTCTAGCTCTTCTCTTTGGCATACCGATTCCCAAAAACAATATAGGTGTCTTGCTTCTGGAGCTTTTTAATTCTTTGACAGGTGAATATTTGTACCTTCTTTCTCAAATGTGTTGCGCATCTGGAAGTGGAAGTAGATGTTTTATGCTTGTAGACTTAATATTGATTTCGATAGGTTTAAGTTCCTCTTGGATGTATAAGTGCGCCTTTTCTTATTGTTACGTTCTCAATTACATCAGAATATTGTGATTGTGAACAAATTACAATATTAAGTACTCTCAGCTATCAGCTCTGAAATGGTGTGTGCATCTTGTCTCAGATGACCAAAAACTACGCACCCTAGAACTGAACTCGTGGCAAATCTTAAGATTGTTAGAAGAACAGAGACCTGCTTTCTGCTCTGAAGATTGTGTTGATTCAAAGGATGACTTTGGAGTTGATATGCTTCCTGGATCTATTGAGGAAAAGTTGTGTCGTTTGCTTTCTAAGGCTTTTGCTTCTCATCGATCCTCACTTCTTCATCGAGATTCTGATTTCAGGTGAGTTTATGGTCGTAATTTCCTAAAAAGTTATTAATACAATCGCCGCCAACGCTTAAAAGAACTCTGCTCTTCCAGGTCCGTTGAAGCAGCTGGGCTCTTTGGGACTGCTGTGGACTCCTACTCTGGCTTCTTAAGACATGCGAGTGAGTGGTTATCTCACAGAGCGACCGATGTAATTTTACTACCTTTGCAGTGTTATAATTTTATACCCTACTTTGCAGTTGCCTTTATTCTGAATGACTTATCTCCTTTCACTGTATATATTTGCAGAAACCACTCTATTTGCTTGTCTCTGCAATCTCCTTGATGATTATTTCATGTTTTTCTCTTGCCGGAATTATCTCTTGCATATTTAAGGGGAAGTCACAAATTAAAGCTGAACACCATTCTGAGTTGGATTTGGATAAACATTGGCACCTTGATGAGGTTTTCATTCTAATGGGGATTTTGATCTATGTTGCCAGCCTTGGTTCAAGCTCTTTTGTTGAAGAAGAGCAGTATATATGGCATTTTCTCACTTCTACTCTATATTTAATATTTCTCATGAAGACAGTCCAATCAATGTTGAAAGAAACAAACTCAACAGTAGTCCATAGATCGGAAGCAAATATGTTTCGCAGAAATAGCTCCTCTTATCTTGCCAGCTATAAGCTAACCCCAGGACAGCAAGATGGATGCAAGTTATATACTGTCCTTATTGTTCTTGTTGCTGGGAGAATTCTAAGAGCCTGGTATCAAGGTGGGATTAACTGGGTTCACTTTCCTGACATTTCAAAGATATTGACCCAGTCTGACTCTTCTATTGTAAAGTCTCTGCAAAGTATCTCAGTTCTTGCAGTTGTGGTATTATATTCAGTTTCACTCATGTTACTGAGAACAAGGAGAATTCTTATTATAGGGCTATGGTTGAGTCACCTTTCGTGTGGGCTTTTAGTTATGCTTCATATCTGGAAAAGTCAGGTTGATACTTCGACACCAATCAACCATAGCACAACATCAATAGCTCAGATATTCTATGTCATCGCAAGTATTTCAGTAACTTGCACTTTTCTTTTATCGCCATGGATATTTCCAACACATTCTAAAGAAGCAGAACCAACATCCTCCTCCGGCTCCAATCCTGAAAAGGCGCATGGCCTCAATCATTCAGTGTTCTTGACTGGAGTAACATATACAATGTTCTGGTGCCTCCTTCAATTGCTTCTGCAACAACCCATAAATGCAATTCCTGTTTTGCTTATTCTCTTGCAAATAATCTCGAGCGTGATTTATTTTTCTCTGGAGAAATCATTGCATAGGCAATGGGTGCAGGTTAGTTTATTCTTTATGATCTTTGTTCGACCACCATGTTCTTTTCCCCAGGTTCATGGAATCATGGGAAGTGGTTATTTTCATTGGCTAACAATTGGGCAATAAACGGTGTAGGTTGTCGCAATGCAATTCTTGGGAATGACCGGCCACTTTGGTCTTGGGAACACGAATAGCCTCGCCAGCATCGATGTTGCTGGAGCTTTCATTGTAAGTTTAACATTAACTTTCTGAAGAAGTGCCTCTTCTCCCAATTTATTTCAGATTTAACCATCTACTTTTAACAGGGCATCTCAAGCTACTCCACGGTCCTTTCTGGGGTGCTGATGTTCATCATTACATATGGGTCACCTCTGCTGTTATACCTCGGGATGGTGGTTCACATGTCGGTGAAAGATAGTACTGATATCTCCACTCCACAGAAATGGAGCAGCATCCTGAACAGAATGATCGCACTGCCCTGTTTGCTCGCTTTGCTCATCAATTCTATTGCCCTGACTTCATACACCATCGTTCTGCTGCTCATGAGGAACCACTTGTTTGTCTGGAGTGTGTTCTCGCCAAAGTAAGTGCTCAATGGAATCTTTACAAGCATAATGTTTAGTTACTTCATAATTTAAGCGCTCAATGGAAGGGCCGGCGTCAGAATGTTTTCACTGGTTGTGATGGTTGTTGTGGATACATGTTTACTTGCTCCAGCATATAGATCGTTTGCCTATGCTTACATCTGGTTTCTAATGCTATCTGACGAACTACGTTCCCCACTGGCAACAGGTACCTCTACGTCTGCGCGGCGACGGTGTGCACATATGCTGGAGTGCTGATTATAGCCATGACCGGGGCGTACACCTGCGCCGTGTTCTCGTTCAGGACGAGGAACTACAGAGACAAATCCGTGGATCAGATCGACGGCTAGGTTTCCTGAATTAGCAGGCATTTTGTTAGAGAAGGAAAAATAGTACTAGTAGTAGCATCGTCTTGGTCACAGGTTTTTCAGACAAATCTTGCTTTGTCTCTGAAGAGTGTAAACAACGCGCTTTCCCTTTGATTTCCTGACCATTTTTAGACCAATCTTTTTGTTTTGTTCCGGCATTTTTACCGTATTTATTAGGCACCCACGGTATAATCAACAATCCATATATTATTGTTTGAAATCACAACCAAAAGAATGTGTATACAAAGAGCCAATGTACACTCTCCTACTACCAAACAAGCACATAAAACACATGCTAGTAATAAACACGTATTGCAGCAGCAACGTTGAATTCTTGTCCGGCTCAACTCAAACCAGCATGGCTCCAACTGCGAGGATCGCTGCGAACAACGCAGGCACATGAGCACCGTCTCTCCAGGCAGAGCTGGGCGCCACCTGCGGCCTCGTCTGCCCCTGGCTCTGGCTCCCCGCCGGTGGGGTCGCCACGGTGGTTCCCGACGGCGACGCCGGCGCCACTGCGGGTGCAAATTGGACAGCATCATCAGCGAGGCTTCATCAGTGAGAATCAACAGCGACATAAGAAGAGAAAGAGAAAGTTGGTGTGGCGAGTGGAGTTTCTTACGCAGCGGGGGCATGGCGGGAGATGCCGCCGAGGTCGCGACGGGGCCCGGAGCTGGAGCCGGGAGCTGCGCCGACGCATCTGCAGTTCATCGCCAACTCTGATCGTCAATGCAAACCTCACATCACACGAAGCTACAACAGTCTGATGATCCTCGTTGCCTGCGGGGACGTACCTTTGCACTGAAGCGGGACGGCCATGGAGTTGCAGGCCCTGGGCAGCGTGACGGCGAGCGTGCGGTTGACCGGCACGCCGCCGAGAGGCACGCTGCCGGTGAGGAGGAGGCACGCGCAGCCCGTGCTGGCGTTCACCAACGCCGGTGAGGATGAATGGATCGTCTGCTAGCCGCGTGCGGTTATAATATATACGTGCGGAGGCGTGTCAAGCTGGTGGTAGTGGATCAGAGGGTAGCTGCACCAGTGTAGCTACCATAAGGCCTTCCATTGCCCGGCATGTTAAAATATAGTAGACTGGGCATCGATGCCCTGGTAAATTATTTCTTTGGCACCGGCCTCACAACGTGCGGGTGTAGCCCGTAGAATGATGGGACCCACATGTATATAGAAAAATCAAAGCAAGCCAACCTCTGGTCAATCCTTCACGCCAGTTCCTCTCGTCCACCTTCAGAAAAATGGGGCATCGGAGCAGCAAGTACAGATGGTAGTATATTCTATTGCAATGCTAGAACGGGGCATCGGAGCAAGAACTTGCTCCGGTTCCCAGAAAACTTTTTATGGCGCCGCATGAGCTATGGAGGGCACCGGTGCCAAATAATGTAAAAGTGGATTTGACACCTCTTTTGGCCTACATAGTGGAAGGCCTAACTAACCGTCATCTGCCTTCTAAACTGTTTCTTTTCGGGAAAGGTGTTGAGGTGTGGATAGTTGAGATCATCCGTCCGGTAGGAGGATTAGGATCCGTCAGTGTAGTACTCCCTCTATAAACTAATATAAGAGCATTTAGATCACTATTTTTAGTGATCTAAACACTCTTATATTAATTTTATGGAGGGGGTAGTAACTACAGCGTGTTTTCGTTGCTGATGAAGAAACCACGCTACTCACCTAGCATGTCACGAGGTGATGAGGTGACGAGTATACCACTTGAAAAATATGCCGTACTTTTTGACCAAAAGTAAGGGTAAGCAGCAGAAACGGAAAATGAGTGGCAAATGGGCAACAGAAGCAAGCGGGCACTACGACCATACGCTCCAAACTCAAAATAGCATTTGTTCCCCCGAGCTCCGAAGTATATTTTGTGAGCTCTAAGGTATGGGTTAACTTACTTCATATCTCAGATAAGATGTATTCCCAATGTATAGTGTGCTGTAGAGCAGTAAAACAAGCCTCTGGTCATGGAAAGAAAAATGTCATGCAAGCAAAAATTACCAACTGTTAACTTGTGTTATCCACTGGAAGGAAACCTTTCACTGTGATATAACTGAATCAAGGACCATATATAAGAAATGAAAAACAATCCACCGCTAAGCAAACATGCTTCAGCTATTGAAGAACCGCTCCATTATAGATCAACATTCTGAAAAAAAGAACGCATTTTATATGTTTGCAGGCCCAATCTTTACTTTTGCAATCAAGGACGGGATAGTGAAAAGAGAACCTATTTTTACATACAAGATGCTTATGATATGCTACATTACCATCCAAGTTCAGTTCAGAGTGTCCATAAAAAAGTGAGGTTCAGGGTGACAATGACGCAGCTCCCAAGCGAAAAAAGGAGCAGCACAACACATGATGAGCTGAGCACGCCACTCAAACAAATCGATGTATTTACAGTTGGACCGAACACGGCCAAGTTTCAGTTCAGTTGTACAGCTGATATATACAAGGAGGAGATCACAGTCGGAGGTTGGATACAAATGAATGATATAAGTAAAACACACAGGAAGCTACACTCAGCAGCTAGATCAGACAGACACTAAGGATCAGCGAGTCTCGTTATTCACTCTGAGCTGACGCATGATCTAACTGTTGAAAGTAACCTATGATGATCACATCGTGCCAGGGTTTGACAACAGCGCTTCCCACAATGGAGGTACAGGGAAGTCCATATTATCATACAATGTGTACAGGGTCTCATGATTATTCACAGGAACTTGGACACCACGCGGCAGGACGTCCAGAAGGCCGCTGTTGCTGCTTTTAGAATCGCTGGATTCTGGTAGATACTGCAAGAGGGTGACACGGGAGAAGAATCAGGAATGCAAACACCCATGTGCTCATAAAAACTTATTATTGGAGTTGTATGATCATGCGAAATGATGCCCTCAAATTTAAGTTGCTGCCTGCAGCACAATATTGTGCGGGGGCTAATTTTGCTGTATATATTGTTACAGAAGTTTGCAGGCTGAAAAGGTGTATTCGATCAATATGTAGAACTTAAATTGATGCAACTGATCAAACTTGAAATATCATATCTTGACTAATCTAGTGTATGGTTTGTTCGTGAAGTGAAGTGATCATGTCCAGTTTCCCTGAGGTGTGATTTTGTTGCCTGCAGACCATTTAGTTTGATGGCATTCTGTCCTAACTTTTCAATCTTCAGTGGGGAGCAATTTTTCCTCCCAAGGGTCCTAGAACAGATTATTTGGGTAGAGCTCTAAGGAGCCTCTAGAAAGGACGTGGGGCTTACCCTGACAGCTCCACCATGGTAATATTACACACAAATTGTGCTTGTAATTACCCATCATTACTAAGGATTTTAACTTACCCAATAGCTGTTGCACTCCATGATGCTACATTATAAATAACTTGTGTTCCAGCCCATGCCTTCTGAAGTTTGCCTTTCCTCTTTTTAGTTGAAAATGTCTTGCTAAGGGCTGAAAAATGAAGGGTGGGGAATCACACATAAGAAAACCTACAACCAACCAAATTCATCTGAATTAAGAATGGAAAAGAGAAGGTTACCTTCTTGAAGTTGATTGGGCGTCAATTCCTGCAGAACATGAAATTTCCAGTATTAGAGGTACGAAGATTTCAAATCAATGAGCGATATGAAATACTCTTCCACGATAAGTACAATCTACTAGAAGTCAAGGTAAAATAAGGAATATTGACGGGCCTTCCCATGTTGATCTAGATAGTACAACGGACAATAGTGTGAGCTGTGAAGCCTACAACAAGAGTAGATACCATACTGAACTATTGGTAACCCATGATCCCACTAAGTCATGTTTTTCACTTCTAGGAATCTATTTAATTATCCAGAACCTCAATAATCACTGTAAAATATAAACATGTTTTTCTTTTCAGAATCCAAGATTTCATGGACATTTGAACGCTGAGACTGATATTCATGAAGGACTGCATAAGAAAAGCCAAGTACACCAAAGATGCAAGAGAAATCATGAATCAAAGGTGAAGTGAACTTTGCATACCTTAGTTTCTTTCAGCGACAGCAGGTATGCAGCCATGAAGCATGCAATCCCATCAACTATATCCTCTTGCTTAACTAGAACATATCCATCCTCTGAATCATCACTGACATTCATACTCTTATCATCCCATATATCTGCTGCGCTTACTATATCCCATGATATGGTTTCATCTACTGTTACATGAGTAATTGCAGAACTGTTCAGTTGACAGGTTTGATTTCAATGAGCGAATAAACGTGCATTTGCAGCATGGAGTGGCAAGGTCAGTTTACGTATTGTTCAAATTTTGGAAACAACAAAAAGAAACGACAGTTCATTGGGCAAATGCGCACCTGCACCATGTTGGTATACTGACTTCTGAATGTTATCAAGCTTTTCTAGAAATTCAGGTGATTCGACCCTTGATTTGAGAAGATTACACAGCTGCATAAGTAAATGGAGAGGTGCAAAAATTAAGAAAGTTTCAGAACAGAAGGCATAAGATAAGTAGACTGGAAGCTCCTTTTCTCATTCCCTCTCTCCCTAGTCTCATCTTTACTATCACCTCAATAACTGATAACCAAAAGTAGCAAAGAACAGTTCAGTCGATTCAAACAGTAAAACGAATTCACATGAATCTGGCTTAATTCCAGGGTACTGCCATATTCAGTCCAACCAAAGGCTTGGTTATGGTTTGCTATGATGTGCTTACTTTTGAAGGTGCAAAACGTCAGTTGTTAAGTTTGGCAAATCAAACGATAAAAGAAATTTCTGTTATCCAATTACTTCCTTCAAACATTCCTTGTCATGTGCTGCGGAACAGGATAATATACACTAGTTTACTCGTTTCACCGTGATTACTGATTATAATAAGAAAAAAGCAATTAGCCAAGCACAAATACGTGAAGGCAGTTGAGCTGGATGGTACTGTCATGATCCACCGCAATTCCAACAAGAGACTAGATCGCTACAGTTTCAAGGACCCCCCCT